TTTTTTTAAAAAAAAAAAAAAAAAAAAACCATTGTAGGAAAAAAAACAACTGGAATTGCTGAAGGAAATAAGGACTTGTATAAAACAAAGGTCAAAATTCCATTTACACATGCAAAAGTCAATAGTAATACTTAAAAAAGCTCAAGTTTTAACTATCTTCTTTGCCTTTATTAGAGTCTTTCGAGATTTTTGCAAACATTTAATCCTCTCCATTACAAATGACATAAATAAAGGCTGTGACAGATACCCAGTTTATGAAAATTTGGGTCCTCTCAAATACTCACATACTGCAAAATCAAGAGGTCAAAGGACAGTCTGATACACAAAGCATCCAAGTTTATACATATGAAATATCACACTCCAAGGTGTGTGATGTAGCGCAAGCATTAGTGTTTGATTCTGCGGTTCGAACCAGTGACCTACAAGTCACACCAAGATAACTTTATTGCTCCAAAGCTCCCCTTTGGGGACAACAAAATCAAAAGAATAAACATAGTAAAAGAAAAACAAAAAGAAAATAAAAAAGGGTTAAGCAAGAATTCTTCCAGGGAGCAGAGCAATTGGTTTGAAGAACAGCAATAAAACAACCATAATAATTATCCTCCAATTCCAGACTGTTCGATTTAAATTAATTCATTTTTGAAAAAAATAATAATTAAAAGTTGCATGTAAAATGTTACAGCTAGTGCAATGTGAAAATGTTCATTCCAAATTATTAAAAGTTGTAGCTGTAATTTAATTTCATATTGATTGATTCCCAAATAAACAATTTAACAATCTTGACGTGGAAAAAGTACTAAATACACTTCTTCATTCCAATTCTTGGTCACCTTATCTTCCGAGTGTCAATTTGAAATTGAGAATCGACAAATTTATTACTATTTTAAAATAAATTAGTTACTTAGAAGCTGAATGAGAAATAATACGATCTAATGTTTTTGTTTAAAAGAGAAAAGAGGATAGCACTTGAAAAATCTTGTCCAAATAATAAAATATTCTTGAAAATGTTATATATAAAAAGTGACAAGTGATTCAAGACAAATAGAATAATGACCCTCCAAACAAATATTAAAAATAGGTGTAAGATGTGTGCAGTAGTACATTACGTTACAATATTACAATGTGACAGTACGTGCATGATATTGGCTTTAAATGCGAGGTAGACAATACGGAAGCTCCCTTACCCACCCACCCCCCTC